GCACCGCCATCATCGCAGATGACCTTTTTGGTTCTTGACCACGAGTAGACCGACGATGCGTTGCAAATGTTTCGCTCAGTTCCACTCCGACTGTTGAGCTGCATAAAGGATCCCCGAAACACGTCCCGCACTGCAGTCACACTCTGCGATACTCCATCACGGATGCTACCTTCCATAGCAAGTGCCCAAGAGACACAAGGTGCGTTCTTGACACTTTCAACCCCGCGCAGCTTGTGACTGCTGATCGTGCAGGGCTTGCTTCGGTCGATGCGTCAGAGCTCACGATATCCCGCTCGGGTCATTTGCGTGTGTGTATATTCCACATAGTATATATGCTTGGAGAACAAGTCTTGGTCGGGCTCAAATGCACGGATCATCAAGTTGCGCATCGCAGTACCGTCACTTCTTGACCTTCTCGCTGTAGTGAGAAAGGCGCAGAGAGAGGGAAGGAAAAAGAGATCGATTCGGTCAGGTCAGCATTGCCGTGCGGACAGAATCACAAGGAGCGTCTTGGAGCATGTGCGACAAGAGCAGATGCTACTCACAGGAGCTCGGGCACGGCGTTGTACAAGTCTGCAACGAGACCGAGATCAGCGATTTGGAAGATGGGAGCTTCCTCATCCTTGTTGATCGCCACGATCGTCTTGCTGTCCTTCATGCCGGCCAAATGTTGAATCGCGCCGCTGATTCCCACAGCGACGTAGAGCTCTGGCGCGATGATCTTTCCGGTCTGTCCGACTTGTAGAGCATTGTCGGCATAACCTGCATCTACTGCTGCTCGAGAGGCTCCGACAGCCGCGTTCAATGCGTCGGCCAAGGGCTCAATGTACTTTTCAAAGTTCTGATAGGCAGAAGCATGGATAGGCCGGCAATCAGCGTATTCTTTTCGAGGCTTGGCGAATGGTAGCGCGCCGGCAGCTCACCTCGGCAGATTTCAAGGCGCGACCACCGCTGACGACGCGGGGGGCAGTGGCGAGGTCAGGTCGCGAAGACTGGTTGATCTTCTCGCCGAGGAAAGTGGTGGGAGCTGCCAAGCGGGATGGGGAATATAGCGCGAGAAGTGCGCCGCGTCAACGATCATCGTTGCATTGCAGCGTGACTAAAAAGCCGAGACCGTACTTACACTCGGCATCTTTGGCATCGACTGCTTCAGCTTGAGCACTACCACCCTCGAGCGCAGCCTTGTCGAAAGCGGTACCGCGAACAGTAATGACCTTGATCTTGTCGCTAGTCTTGACCTTTGCAATAGCATTTCCGGCATAAATCGGTCTCTCGAACGTGTCCTCGGAGTGCACAGCGACAATGTCGCTGACTTGGCTGGAGTCGAGCAGAGCTGCAGCGCGTGGCAACACGTCCCTGCCCACTGCTGTGTGGCCTGCGATGAGATGGGTGTAGCCTTTGGAAGAGACTAGCTCTTGGAGCAAAGGAGCGAGGGGCTCGGGAAGGTTGGAGGCGTACTTGTCTCCGCTAGCGTGAAGCACCTTGCTCAGACCGCTGACCCTGGTTGATGAGGAGTAAGTAGTGCATGGGACAAGCGGGCGTGAGCGGAGATGTCGACTACATCCG